TGGGACCCCTCTCGCTCACTTCACAGCTGAAGTGGCTGGAGGGTCTGGGGCCGGAGCTGCGGGTGGGAGCCGCGGGCCAACCGGGCGGGGCGGCCCTGACTGGGCTGAGAAGTGGCTGGCGCGGCCCTACCGGGCTCATGGCATGCCTGGACAGCTGCTGCGGTCATCTGAGCGAGAGAAAAGAAAGGGGAGACAGAGAGGAGGGAGGAGAGAGAGAGAGGAGAGGAGAGAGAGGGGGGGAGGGAAGAGTTAGAATTCATCGAGCAACTGGAGACAGCTACTCCTGCGTCCCGTGAGCTGGGGGGCGTTCTCCATCCTCCATTCCTCACTTCTTACCTTCTTAAGGCTTCGGGCCTCCCCGCTCCCTGCCCTCCTCTCCGCCCACTCCCCTTCCCTGCTCACCTTCCAACTTCACCCCCATCCGCCTCCCTGTCCCCCTTGCCGCCGCCCCCCCTCCATCTGTTCTTATCTATTATTAAGTGCTCTGGTGCAGCGCTGCTCGCTTATCTGGTCATCTGAGAGCTGTGTGTTGTGTGGTGTTGTGTGTGTGTGTGGGTTATGGTGACGGCCAAACCTGGACATACATGCAACCAATCACCCGTTCATCGACTCATTCCATACGTCTTCCTGCACAATACGCACATATGTTATCTGTCTTGGTCTGTGGGTGTCTATCTGTCTGTGTGTGTGTTGTCTCATCTGTCTGTGTGTGTGTGTTGTGTGTGTGTGTGTGTGTGTGTGGTGTGTGTGGTGTGGTGTGTGTGTGTCTGGTGTCTATCTGTCTGTGTGTGTGGGTGTGTGTCTGTGGTCATCTGGGTCTGGGGTGTGGTGTGTGTGTGGTGTGTGGTCTCTATCATGTCCTATTTGTCTGTCTGTCCTGTCTGTGTGGTGTGTGTCTCAGTGGTGGATTTATGGATCTCTCATTAACCTCCCCAGTTGTCAAGATGCTGACAACAGTTTTGAGTGCCGAGTGCAGTACCACACCACACACACACACACACACACACACACACACAACACACACCACACACACACCACACACACAATGAATAGATGATATTGTTATTCACACAGGAGATTATTTTTAAATAAAAACAATCTGTGTGCTCATTTGTGTTAAATAGAAAAAAACATTATTGAAAATGGCTGATTAAAGCGCTCTTTATCGGGCCCTCTTAGCGAGGCGAAGGGGAGGTCATTACTGGAGCGGCGAGCAGAAAAATTGTGTAAGACATGTTATTATTTTAAAGGGCCCAGAAATAAAACTTCTCTTTCACAGGGTGGTTTGTACACTAGTGGTTCCCCCAAACCTGGGGTCGCTAAGTTGCGTTAATGGGGGGGGTCGCAAGCCCCTTCATTGATTTAAGGCATGTAAGAAACGTTATGAAATACAACAGAATGCAAGAAATTGTTGTTAATTGTTGTTAAATAAACAATGGGGCAAACATGAATGGAACCATCAAAACAAGCACGCTGAATTTCTCTGAAATGATTGAAAATTTATAAGAAAACAGATACAGACAAGAGAATTTGAAAACAAGTTCCCTAAACAGAAATAATCGGCTCAAAATTCAATCCAAATCCGGATTTACACAAACGTCCTGCAGTTACTGAGTTCACTGTTTGGGTTCATTGTACAGTTTTAATATAATATAAAATATACATAAAATATGTCACTGAGTCCGTTTATTAATGATAGAAAAGGGGCCCCTCAAGGAAAAAAAGTTGGGAAACAATGGTGTAGAGAAAAAAGAACTAAACTATATTTATGACATTTTAATTTAAGACAGTAAACAAGTGAGTGTGCTTCCTAAAATATTAATGCACAAAGCAACTGGAGTGGAATCACAATCAGCTCAATGAGTTCATCGCCACCATAAAACGAATGAAGTGTCTGGATAACGTGTGTCTTTGTCTCTTTACCTGGCTCATATTCCACTGTCCTTGCTGCTGTCCTTGCTGCACGCCGTACAAGTTCTGACCTTGGCCGGCTGGCATCGCGCCCTGCGGCTGCTGCGGCACGCCCACGTAGCCGCCGTTGGGCAGAGCCATGCCGGACATCACGGCCCCTCCGCCCATCATGGTGGTGGGTGGGCCGGCTCCGCCCATCCCTGGAGCGAAACCCTGCGGAGTGAACTGCATCTGAGGCTGGCCCATGTTGTACATTCCTGCTGGAGCGAAGAACAACACAGAGTTTATGTAACTGCGCTCTGCAGGAGTTCCTGTTCACTTTCGTACTTACTGAGCAGAGAGAACAGAGCCGCGTTCAATAAATAAACAGTTTTACTCACAAACTCTAATGAATCCAGTTTTGCTTTGATTTGTTACAAGATAAATGGGAAAATTATTCATTTAAAGAGTAAATAGTTGCTTTTGGGTGTCACTTCCAGATTAACCAGCTAAAATGTTAAATATACTTTAAAAAAACATAAACTTCATTTGGTGGTCTTACTATTGCAAATAGTTCCTAATTCCTTGATGTGTTTGAGAAAGTTCAAAGTCATAATTATAAGAATTTATTACATTAAATTTAAACACAACCAGACAGACAACAAGCAAAGATTAAACCACATACATACAAGTCTAATGTCAAAGGTTAAAAATGCCGGGTTTAAAACTTTTAGAAGTATTTAAAATGCTACCAGTAGCTTCAGGTCCATAAATAAATAATAATAAACACAACCAGTACTGATACTATTTATGTTCAGCATCCCTGCAGGATTCAATGTAGTTCAGAGTTAATGTTGTTAATAAAAGTCTGTTTACTCTTCACTCTCCGAGCACAGACAGAACATTTTGTACTGCTGCTTCACATTAAAAGCATTCAACTAGTGAAACACAAGGTGGCTTTTATTGTGACGCACTCACAGGTTAGAGCTTGATGGCTCAACTCTTAACATCTGCCATACCACTGGACTTAAAGACAGCTCCTTACCTCGGCCTGTTAAATTAACAATACAAATGAGTCATTTCTTTGTTTTAAAAGCAGCATGAAGGGAACTATATCCTAATTTCTTTCATGACAATAACACATAACCTTGAACCAAGACTTCACTTGGACAGTCACTTTGAGGGTAAATGCAACTTTCATAACTGACATCTAATGTGAAAATTGAAAAATCATTAGACCAAATAGATTAGGGTTTGAGATGTTTTCAACACACCAAAACACAGAAATGCTTTTTATTACAGCCTCTAAAGAGGAAAAAGCTGCAGAATATCACCAATCAGTCAGTTTGCCCATCAGCACCGTGTGAGCCACTGTGGGAATGTGATAAGTGGCAAAATAAAACACAAATTTATCATATTTTCACCGAGTGAAAAGTCCTCAAGGGACGGAAAGGAGATAACTTATTTAAAAGGACAAAATATCTGCTGACTTCCAAGTACAAAACGCTATAAACGTCCACCTGATACAGAAATATAGCTCAATTCATATCCTGTCTTAAAGTTTTAAAACCCTCATCTGGTACAGATTCCAGATGGAATCAGTGACAGATCGGTAGAGGATTCATGGACTGTAACTTCAGTGTATTCTGACATTTTGATCATTGTGTTATTAGCTGCACTTAGAGCCACAGTCCATCCTGCTACAACATGGCCTTCTCTTCTCACACACACACACCACCACACACACACACAACACACACACACACAACAACACACACACCGACACAACACAACACACCACACACACACAACACACACAGATGACTGGAAGTGAGTTACTTTGGGGCATTAGCCTTGGCGAGCTTTTTCTTTGCTTTGATCTCCGATCAGCATTTATTTTGGATTTCAGATGAGGACAATAAAAGGCCGCAGTAAAGCCCTCGCATCGGATTCCCTTCCCCTTAATCCTCCATGACATCAGTGGATCATGCACATTATAATCAATCATGCAACATCTCCCCCGCCCATCCTCCACCATTCAGAAAAACACTGCTTCCGATAATGCTTTTCCCACACACTTGCACACAAACATGCTCAGTGGTCGTACTGTGTATGTATGAACATCCGCCACGTCAGATAACATATACTGCAGACACTTCTCGTGGTGGGACCCAGTAAACGCAGTGTGGAGTGGACCTCCTGCCTTTTTCCAGCACGCTGACCTCTTCATCTGCCTTCACCTCCCTTCATTTTTATTGCCTTTATCTTTCTCCTCTGATGTACTGTGTGAAAGTGTGTACGGTGTGTGTGTATAAACACCCTACATCTGAGTGTGTCCGCCCCTTGTGCTGACCATACTGTATGTTTACCCCACTCAGGAGACACCCGGTATACATAATATCATTAGACTAGTCCTATATACTAACTTATACCGTATAATGCTATAGTAACATACTATACATATAACATGACTACTTGTGCGTGTTATCAGTTTTGTGTACATTCTGCCATGTACAACACACTGAAGCAGTCTGAGCGCTGACAGTCAGAAATGGAAGGCTGTTGAGGATCCTCACCTACGGATGACAGTAAAGCACTCGTATTAACTAATATGTGTATTACTTTTTTTACACTGCAATCGATTCAATATTTTGATGTTTTCACCACTAACTGGTCCCAATTGGGGTCACAGGGATGATTCAAAGATAGAAAAGAAGAAAACGATACTGCAATTATTCTATAAAACACCTGAATTTGTGACTTGATTTCTTTCCGTCTTTTGGCTTTTAAAAACTGTAAATAAATAAATAGTCTCTCGGTCTCTCTCTCTCTCTCTTCTGTTGCTCTCTCGTCTCTCTCTGTTTCAATCTCATATACATCTACTCTGAATGAAAATACCTCTCTCTTCTGTAGTCAAATAACATATAACATACTCAATAGAAGAGTCTCTGTTCTCTGTGTCCTCTCTCTTCTCTCTGCTGTCTCTCGTCTCTCTCTCTCTGCTCTGGATTTTATTCCTCTAAATTTATTTTGCCTCATTCCTCTTGGACATGTTTCTTGAGTTCTGGTTCTCGCCCACATAAGAACTTTGAAACTTTTTTGAAAAGTTCTGTAAGTTATAAATAAAGTTTATTGTTATTTGATTCTAGGTGTGTCTGTAAATGTCGAATTTTTAAGCCAATTCTTGAAATTTGACCACTGCAGTGTTTTCATAGTCCCTGTTTATTTGCCTTGAACAGCCAATGTACTGATTATACAGAGCACATAACAGACCAACAGTGAGTGAGCCTGATTGATCTCAGGGGTCTTTCAGAGGCTGTATCGGCTCCATTTTAAAGCTCGAGTGAAGATCCTTCATATGCATCAGGAAACAACGCTCCAAAGTTAAACATGGCGACAGAAAAACTGGCATTGCCATTTTCAAAGGGATCCCTCGACCTCTGACCTCAAGATATCTGAATGAAAATGGGTTCTGTGTGTACCCAAGAGTCTCCCCTATGTAGTCTTGCTCACTTTATGTGAATTCCTTGCAGTTTTAAACAAGAAACATGCAGTATTTGCGTGTTGCGTACGTATATGTGTTATTTTCACCTTGTGTATTTGAATATTTCTGCACACCGGGATCCATAAACAGTGTTGGAATTACATATTCAATCACATATACAAGTGGGAATGACTGGAAAGCTGAGACACATACTTCATGCCACTCCTGTATAAGACAATGCCCCAAATCTAAATTTCCAGGTTTTCCAGGACACTTAAGATGCCAGCTGGAGTTTGGGCGGGGTTTGTTGCACACTAGGTGTAAAATACAGCATGAAAGGTTTGTTTTAGCAGCTGAGATGCCAACAGTAGAAGTACAAATTCAACAATATACCCATAAGCCTTTGCACGGTAGGGTTATTTCCTGTCGTTCAGCTAGAACATGTATGAACCGAACTAAAGGGGTATATTCTTAAGATTTGTAATAAACTGCTTGTCATTTCTTCAACATCAATGTGTGGATGCTGGATGAGACCGAGCTCTACTGACTCGGTACGGATGACAAAGGGTTAGCAAAAATGCTGCGTGTGTGTGTGTGAGTGTGTTACCTTGTCCTGGAGCAGGCTGTTGCTGACTCTGCGGCTGACTGCCCACCGAGCTGCTGGCGTACAGAGACAGGATGGAGTCTTTAGATAAAAGCTTCTTCTGCTCCGCCTTCGTGGTGGTGGTGGTGGAGGTAGAGGAGGAGGCAGAGGAAGAGGTGGAGGGGTCTGCCTGCGGAGCTGCTGTACTGGAACCAGACTGTCAGGGACGCAGAGGGGAGGACGGGGATGAAAAGAAATGTCATGAAATATGTATAGTTTCAGCCAAACATATTTTTTATCTGGTGGTGTATAATGATGCTCTTGGTCACCTTACACATTCATATATAGATACAGTGCACACACAGTGGGATGTCAAAAGCAGGGCTGGGTACATTTTTTATGCCAGTGCTAATAAGATACATCAGTTTTGGCACTAAAGCAAACCTTCAATGCCTTGAAACATAATATTTAATGTATTTACCTAATCAGCAGAGAGAACCAGGACATTAAACAAGCAGCAGGGCCTTTATTTATTTGTCTCCCAGTTCCATTTTAAGTCACTGTTGCTAAAAAATCAAGCTTTCCCACATGTCTGTGCATAGCCTCACATAAATACACAGCACTTATTATACACACATTCTGTCTACATAATAATAAGGTGTTATGTTGAGTATGGCAGAAGGGACTGCCACAGCGAGCCCGTTTCCAGGGGTCCGTGTCTGCGCCCGGGGGGGTGTCTGGTGCCGTTCGTTATGATGTGTGCTCTGTGTGTGTGAAGGCTTTGCTGTTGAGGTCTGAGAGGTTGGGGGCCAGGGTGTGAACTACAGGGGAGCCAGGCTGAGCTCGGCCTCATCTTAATAAGACATGGGCCCCCCTGAAAAAAATGATTTGTGAGATTTAGGGGATATATACAATGTCAGCCCCTCCATGATTTTGCAGGCTTTTTGTGGGATTGTTGTGGCCTTAAATGTCTGATTTGAGGACAGTGTTTCTAAAACACTGCGATGCATGATGATGGTTTTAGGAGAAAGTAAAACAATTCATTAAAAATTGGAATTTCACGGTTTCTTCAACAGTAGAGCGAGTTTGGTGACATATGACTGAACATTTTGTGCAGGAAACTACGTTTGGTCAACTTTGCAGAAAAGTTGCTGGGATTGGACAAAAGGGCAGAACTCCTAACTTCCTGGAGGAACTGCAATATGCTATATGTGTCATGCTTTTCTAGTTTTCTGCATCTGCATCATCGTGGATTATGCATAAACTTAGACTACTGTTGATGTGTGATTTGTGCATGAGGGTGATTCATCACTAATTCAAAGACACTGTTATTTTTGCTATCACAGCCCAATATCATTACCATTGACTAACTTTGTAGAAAAAGTGAGCTCCCCTGAAAGCTGTGGTATAGTTCACACACTGGTTGGGTGTGTGCTGTTTGTGATGAGTTTGTTCCTATTGGAGGTTAACATGTTGAAGTAACAGGGAACAGCAGAGGAGAATGGGTTGAACTGTGCTTTTATAAAGCAGCAACAGAAAGAACTTTAAGTTTGAGTCTTCGTTGGCAGCGTTTGTAAAAGACAGCGGACGTTCAAAGCTCATTTTACTGTCCAGAGTGAGTCTGAGATATGAGCAAGAATACATATCAGACATTCAATTTAAATACTTTCGGTACCTATGCCTCTCCCTACAGGACCCTAATGTCATTTAACACTAACTCTTGGACAGTTCATTCCACAAACATCCACTCACTAAATGTATGTGCTTATACAGGGAGGGTATAAGACTGGCACCATATTCACTGATACATACCGTATATATCAGGGTGAGGAAGGATGAGACAAGACAGGCAAACAGGAGGGAGGCGAAGGGAAGAGATGAGATAAAAATAAAGAGGGGTACAGAGCAAGAGTCAGATAAAGGACAGGAAAGGGGAGAAAAGAACGGAGGAGACGGTAGAAGATGAGCATTGTCCCCGTAAGTGAGACAGATGACATTAATTAGGCCGCTGCAAAGAGAGGCAGACATGAACTGTTGCAGACAGGGCGCACACACACACACACACTACAACACACACACACCCACACACAACCACACAGATGTCTCGCCCAACGATGCACCTTTCATTTACAAAAAAAATAAAAATACCTTCAGGCACAACACCCATTATATCTAGAGGGATGGAGCCTGACAAAAAGTTAACACCCTGCTAAGGAGCCTCCCGAGCAGTGTGTGTGTGTGTTGTGTGTGCTGTTGGTGTGTGTGTGTGTGGTGGTTGTGTGTGTGTGTGGTGGGTGTGTGTGAAGTGGAGGGGAAGAGAGAGAAGGGGGAGGCAATAGTCAGCTGGACCTTCATGATACGATAATGAGGAGACAGTGTTTCGATAAAACAAACACCACACTCTCTCTCTCTCTCTCTCTCTCTCTCTGTCTCTCCTGTCTCTTCTCTTCGTCTCTGTCTCTCTGTCTCTCTGTCTCTCTGTCTCTCTCTCTCGTGAATAAACACTCGTCACAAAACACTTCATCCACAACTGGTCACACACACACATTATACATTCTCTTAGATACACACAAACTTAATACACACACACACAAAGAGCAGCGCTCAACTGCTTAGCAGGCAGCGCTGCTCCCCTCTGCCTCTCTGCTGACTTCCTTTTGACTGGAGGAAGGAGGAGAGGAAGAGGAAGCAAAAGCAGGAGGAGGAGGGAGGTGGCCGGGCTGTAAAAGGAAGAGGAGGAGAGGAAGGTGGGGAGGACTGAATGATTGAAGGCTGAAAAACAAAGAGAGAATGAGAAGGGAGAGGAGAAAGAAAGGGATAAGTTGAGAGGAAAAGAGGCAGGGATGAAACAGCTGAAGAGAAAAGAAAGGTAGCTAATCATGCCAACACACACACACAAACACACACACACACACTCTCTGGGTCCATTTTCTCTCAAGTGAAGCCAGTTAAGGTGAGTCAGGTGTTGACGGAGGCAGGATGGAGCTCCCTTGCTATTAATAGCTGCGGCACATTAGCGTGATACGTGCTCCTGAGGAGAGCAGTGAATAGGAGGTGAGAGCAGGCGGGAAACTGTCCTCACCTGATCCGTCTGATGTCAACGATGCTTTATAACACCACTCAATCAAGGAGCTAAGCCTATTTGCTGCTAAGCTTGTTCGCAAAGTTGAAAAATGCATTTAACAGACTTCAAATCCCCCCAAACTGCGGTAATCGCCAGCCATTCAGCTTCCCTTCTTTCAGATATATTTGTAGAAGCGGACGCTGTGACTCAGACAGAGTCTACCGGCTCTGAACTACTGTGATAAGACCGACATCCAGAATGAATTTAGAACCGGAGCAGCAACATGTTAACCGATGAAAAACCGCTTGCAGGTTGGGTGAGTTTAATTAACTTTGCATTAAGATACGGTAACTAACTTTTCACCGTGTCATTGGAGACGTATGGCTTTGGTCCTACAGCGAATTATCTCCTGATTCCCTGTTTCCCTTTTAGTGTCTTTTAGCTCATTGTTTTGTCTCCCACTATAATTTGGCTTTTGTCTTCACTGGGAAAGGCTACCATCTGGTCAAATGACTGCAGTAGTCACAGGTATTTATCGGCTCCAGCTCCGATCGGCAGTGTTGGAAACATGACAACTGGATGATAATTTTCAGCCCTTTTTCAGCTATGTGATGCATTGATGTGCGTAAAAAGCTAGGACTGTTAATTCTTGTTTTTTACCATCTATAGGAACAAAGTGCAGCGATTTTGTTCTTCGTATAGTGCACTATGCAACACTCGGAGAGACTGAGGTAAAAGATGTAACCATCATAACGTCACTGGACTCCATGTAGCTTTGTACTGTTTAAGTAAGCTTAAGTTTTCTGGTGTGTTCATGATGACGAACATGACACAAAATCCAGAAAGGTAAACTCGTCTACTGGCAATGGAAAAGGAGTCAATGGAGCATCTTTAGCTGGTTTAAAAAACCAGTACATACGCACTAACTTTGGGGTAAAATGCGTTAATTTTAGCAGCTAGCTGATGAACATAAAGGAGCATTAAACAGCTATAGAGACAGATATTGTTTCTCAGGAGTTGGTGGAGACTAAAAAGAGCTAAAAGAAGAGTGAACCCCAACAAGGCCAAAAAAATGTTCCATGTTAAAGCCGCATTTCTCAAACTGAAGCTGAAAATTCTGAAATGTAAAACTGCGGTGAGCTGCTGCACTGCATTGTTGGAAAAAAGCCATTGTTGGGATCGGGTACTCCCAGTGAAAACCAGTATAGTATTGATTAAGTGTATAATATTACATTACATTACATTCATTTTTCACATCACAACGGGAACTCATTTCAGTGTGTTGCTCAAGGACACACGGATCAAATAGCCTATAATTAATGGCTGACCGGTCCTACAGTCTGACCTACATTACATAATGATCTCTGGCAAGCTGTACAGACTTATAACAGACGTAACAATTAACACAAATTCAACCGAGCCCCAAATCAATTCAGCGTGACCTTGCAATATTGTATGATCACCGAAACTTTTCCACAAAAAGCACCAAGTTGCCTTCGATTTTCAATGAATTATACAAAAAGAATCGCTAATTTCTCTGCAACTTCTTTGCAGAAGAAATGCCAAAAAACTCTTTTAGAAAAATCAGGCATTTTAGGCCAGAACAAACTCCCCAAAAACAGCCTGTGAAATCCTGGAGGGACTGAATATCATATATATATAATATATATGTCATTGGAAATGTCATTGTGTTAGTTCCTGTGATGCACATGAGGCAGTGGAGGTGTTTAGTGGCCTCCTACTGGTGCACCTGCTTCTTAAAATTAAGGCCTCTTTTGCTTAAGACTAAACATTTTCCATTGGCCTTTCACTCATCCTGCTGCCTGTGACTGCCAGACACTCCAGGCGCATTAGCTCCATTTGCACTGAAAGAACAGCGAAGCAGTCCAGCAGATTTCTTGCCAAACAGGTGGCACACAATGCAAAACGCAGCGATACATCAGCCTAACCTCGCCTCAGAGGGAGGAGATATTCAAGCAGAGTACATCACGTGTGCATCCATCTTTTCCTTTGTGTTTCTCGGTCACGCTGAGAAACACAACGCACGCACACACACACACACTGTCCACATAGTGTGTGATGTGTTGCGGGGCTCCTAGCAGCACATTGTGTAACAGAAAGCCTCTTCAACAAGGCTCCATTCTTCTCAGCCA